AGCTCCTCTATCGGTCTGGCCAAAAAAAAAAAATTAACAATAATTTTATTATTGTTATAAAGATAAATATAAACTATTTCTTTATACATACAATATGGATGTTAAATCGAAGCTCATCAAAAGAAGATTGATTTGATATATTACATATATAAAACTAATAAAAAATACAAAAGTTATTAACTTTTAAAATATATATACAATTCAATAGTTAAGAATGATATTAAAATACAATTAATAAATGTAACATGACCATAAATAATCAACATATTTATGGTAATCCGAATCTAATTATTTTTGGTTTAGAATTAAATTAAAATTTACCCAAGCCTAATAACGAAGCATGTAATTTTGCCACATAAAATTTCGAAGCACCAGAAGCAGCCACGTTGGCTCAGCGCGTTCTGCATTAATATATAGGGGAGGGGATATTTATTTTTAAATTATAGTAAAATAAATAAATTCACTACAACATAAATGACCTTAGGTAGCACGAACAACTGCAACGCCAATATTGTGTTACAAATTATTGGTTTAGGTATCATATTATTGTAACACTTTAATATAAGTATTACCAAAGACTAGCAAAAGTATCATATAAGTGTTACCAAAAACTACCAAAAGTATTATCTTTGACTTTTAGGTAGCACGAACAACTGCAGCGCCAATATTGTGTTACTTATTGTCTATAGTAACATTTTATAGCTTTTATGTAACATTTTAAAACTTTTACGTATCATTTATTTGGTGCTACCTAAAGCTATTTATGTTGTAGTGATTTATTCTTTTCATAAAATATACATCAGTTATAAAATTAAGAAATAGTAATTGCATTGGAATTGATTGAATATATATGGATATATTATATATTAGGTAATTAAAGGTTTTGATTACATTAGTTAGTATATTTTTTGTAATGTAACTTTTAAATTGTGTATAAAAATATGTATTAATATTTTACGATAAAAATCAATGCCTTTTTTCGATAAAACTATGTGTTGATATTCGGGTCGGTATGACCAGGGATACCTAGTTGAACACCTAGAAACCGAGAGAGCCGGTCTTGGGGGTGGACCGAGCAACAAGTCGGCTTGAGGTACCGAGCTGGGTGGAGAAGAAAATTGCCCGGACCGACGTCCCACGTGTCCTCTAAGGCCGGCACCCTGTACAAAAAGTAAGGGTGCCGGCCTGTCCAAGTGTCGATATGAGATATGGGCTTACAAGAGCCAGGTGAACAGTCGGTGCTAAAAGTCCAACCTGGAGATCCCCTATGTCCGACCACGATATGGAGGCCGAGCCAGAAACGAATATAAGATGGCCACTTGGCAGCTAATGATTGTTGATTAGATAGGCCAACCTAGTCTGCCACTCTAGGGCATCTAGCTCGACAGGAGTGCCTGTCAGCATTTAATGCACCCCATGTGTGCATTACATGCTTCAAAGCTTATGATTGCAAAAACCTAAGATCGCATTTAATATCTGTCAGGGAAGCGCCGACCTGATCTGCGGGAGCATTGTACGACAAGACTGATGAACAACGCCGAAACAATAGCATTTAAGATACTATAAATAGGAAATCATCTCATTTATTTTGGGGTGTTGAATCCTCAAATACTCTGCTTCTCTCCACTTTATCTCTCTATAAACCTGTAATATATTCCTGTAATTATCCCACCTGTAACAAAAGTACCGACCTCGATCTCAGAGGCCGACCTCGTAATTACTTAATAAAATCGTAATTAATGATATTTCTCTTCTATTTTCTATATCATACTTTCATTATATCTTATTTTAATCATTGATCGGCTCCGTCCATCAACACTGTGTATAAAATTAATGTTTTATATTTATACTTATTATTCACATAGGTTTTAATTTTGCTAAAATAATTGTTTTATGAAATTACATTATAGTCAAATCGATCAGAATAATTTTTTTTTTAAAATGACACTTATCTTGAAACTATGTATATGCACTGCACAGGCTGTGTACTAATTTAAAATAAAGATTATTATGCAATTTTGCATAATTTAAATTTTATATAATATTTTCGATAAATTAATATAGGTAAATTGTGTTAAATATTGATTTCATATTTTTAATTTAAATATTAATAAATATCTCTTACATGTGCGGGATGCGCACTAGTTTAAACTTAAAGAGAGTAATCTAACTTTGGATTAATTTATGGCAAACCATATTTTGTGTATTTTTACATAATTTATAAAATTCACCTCAATAATATGTTTTCTTCACCACATATTAATGTGATGTATATTGTGGCAACATGTAATTTTATTTTTTATCCCTTGCCCTTGGGGCATATTTTCCTCATTCAGATTGTACCTAAGTGGAAATTATAAAGGCATATATAAAAATAACATTGAATTTATATTTTTTCAGGCATATATACGTAACTTTTCTTAATCTGTTTAATGATGGTAAATGCAGACTAATTAATCGCGAACTAGGAATAGAGCAGTTTAT